CTGGCTCCCGGTTCTGCCCCCCCCGCAGCCCCCGCAGCCCTGAGCAGCCCCCGCAGCCCCCGCAGCCCTGAGCAGCCTCCTCCCTTCACACTCACAGTGTGCGGTGTCCAGTGTTTGCGTTCTGTGCCAAGGCTGCTTTAGCCACCACTCTGTTCTTCTTCCCACACCGGTGGAAGCGATTTGTTTGTGTCACTTTAAGTGAACAAGCCCTGTGGTTTCCTAATGTCCACATCTTTAAGATAGGTAACAAATTACTTTGTATCTTTAACTTTACTAATACTTGTTCAGTTTGGATTTGTTTTTGCTTATCTCATTGGCCATGTGTTTTTAAATAGGACTTAATGCTCAGGAGAACAGAGATTTTCTCAAACACATTTTTAGCATTTTATTTAGCTGTATATTTCAGCTTTTACATTTGTGGGGGAAGAGTTCATGTGCAGAGAGGGAGGCAAGCACACAGAGGGAGGAGGACACACATGTGGAGGTCACAGGACAAGTTACAGAAGCCGTCCTTGACCTCCTCCTCCTGCCAGGCATCGAACTCAGGTTGTCAGGCCTGGCAGCAAACACCTTTACCAGCCAAGCCTTGTCACTGGGTAATGAAGGCAACTGCTTCAAACTGATTACTTTGCAGTCATTAAAAAAAAAAAAAATGTGTATTTTAGGTACTTGTTTTCAAACAACCAAGTTCACTACCATAATGTTAACAGTCTACACTATTCAATAAGGTAGTCACTAGCCACATGTGGCTATTGAACACCTGAAATATGGCTGTGACTAAGGAGCTGACTTGTAATTTTACTTAGTTTGCATTGGAGAAGCTCCATGTAGCTAGTGTTTTCCTTATTGGAAAACAATACCATACATTAAGCTCTCAGTGTGATCCCTATTCCCTGGGAAAAAAATCATGAGAGACATTATCAATTTTGACCTCTAAGAAGCCAGAGAAGATGTCTTTTTTCTTCTCCAATACCTGATTTTCTGTGGGGTGGCCTGGCCCTCTATACCAGTGGTTCTCAACCTGTAGATAGAGATCACTTTGGGGTGTTGCCTAAGACCCCCAAAAGATATATTCATCACGATTCATAGCAAAATTACAGTTGAAGGAGCACTCGGCTGTCAAAGGCTAGGATGGCAGAGCTCATAGGTTCACACCAACCTGGGCTACAGAGAAAGCTAGTCTCAAGATGAAACCACAGATCTTCACGTTATAATTAAATCACAAGGAAGAGTAGCTTATGCATAAATACAGCCAAGCACTGGGGAGTAACACCACCATACACCTGTCTTCCTGAACTCCTGGCCTTCAACCCCATGTGGTCAACTCTAACTGAAATCCAAGCAAGACATTTTGTGAAATGACACACTGATTTCAAAATCCATGTGAGAATGTTTAGAAGAAAAACTGCAGTGAGGAGACTTGCCCCATCAGATAGCAAGATTTATTGGAAAGTTATAATAATGAAAGTTCTCCATACCCCAATATTAGGCCACTCCAATGACATTAGTAATCTGAATAAAATTGAATGAATTAAAGGTATAGGTTTAATGAGTAAAATGCTCCCAAACGATTTTTTGGCCCCCAAAGAGGGCCAAAGGTGGGAGAGAGATCAGTAAAAGGAATGGGTAAGAAGGAGAAAGAGCATGAACAAGATCAAAGTCTGTGGAGTTGGGGTGTAGCTCACTCAGTAGAGTGGCTTGCCTAGCGTGCACCAAGTCCCTGGGGTCAATCCCTAGCACCAAACAAGTCAGACGTGGTAGCTCATGCCTGTGATCCAAGCACTCAGGAGTCGGAGGCAGGAGGGTAAGACGGGCAAGGGTATTCTCAGCTACATACTTCAAGGACTGCCTAGGGCACATGAGACTCTATCTCAAAAAAGAACAAATACGTGACAATGCTGGAATAAAACCCACTAATATGTATGCTAGCCTAATATATAATTTAAACTCTCTGTCTCCCCAAAAAGCTGGGCGTGATGACACATGACTTTAATCTCAGTACTCAAGAGGCAGAAGCAGGCAGATGTCTATAAGTTTGAGGTCAGCCTCGTCTACATAGTGTGTTCCAGACCAGCCAGGGCTGCATAGTGAGCCTCAGCGTCAGGGAGAGAGAGAGAGAGAGCAGGGTGGGAGAGGGAGGGAGAAACCTCAGTGCTATGTTAAACATTAGGCTAGTCACTCACTCTTTAATTCTAATCAGTCCCAGAGGAAAAATTTCAAGACAGGCTTTCACTGTGTGTGTTGCCTAGTAGGTGTGGCCTAAATCTGGGTATTGGGAGATGACACTATTGGGCAGGAGCAGTACTGGGGGTTCAGAGAAAGGGGAAAAAAGCAGGGAGTGCCACCAGGTTCTGCTTAGTCCAATGGGAGTGGGGACAGAGAGGGAAGGGAGACCACAGCAGAAGGCATGTTACAGAACTAGGGATGCAAATGGGAACTGAATTTAGAGAAGAGGACGGAGAGGTGAAGTCTGGAGTTAGCCTACCTGTTTCCCTGGTCAGAGTGGCCTTGGGTTCCCAGGGAGTGCCTGCCAGAGTTGGGAGTGGAGGTAAAACAATGAGTGCGAGGGGAGAACTTAGTTGGGGACGATCTGTGAGGTGCACTGGAGATGGGAGCAGGCTGGTGGTCTCAGCTGGTGGTCTCAGCTGGTGGTCTCAGCTGGTGGTCTGCAGAACAGCCAGGGATGAACCCAGGGGATTGGATTTGGAGAGCTCTGCTCAGGGAGGGGTGAAGACAAGCAGCCTCCCGTGTGGAATTTCACATCTTTATTACACGTATTTTAATATCAACATTTGTCTTGTAGGTTCAAAGGAAAAAAGAACACACAAAAAAGTAGAGTTACAGTCTTGAGTTGGTAGAAGAGCGACTGGTAAATAAGATGTTCGAAGATGAGAATAGCTGGGAGCCGGGAGGAGTCGCTAGATCTGAGTCACTGGAAGACGAGGCTGGATTAATTGAAGACATCTCAGACTCCTTCAATGATGTATCTTCTTACTCGGAAAGGAGAGATTCGAATCAGGTTTACGAAGCAAATCCTTCAAAGCGCACAGAACCATCAGCAGCTTCCTCTACAAGTCTGCTTAACAGGAATGAAGAGAAGAAAAACATTCCGATTTCTGAGGCCAACATAGCAGATGTCATCCCACTGTCGAAACTAGAAACGCCCGGGACCTCCATTTCATCAGAGACAAAGGAAACTGAAGACTATCAAAAAGTCAGAGTCCCATCTGGGGAGAAAGTTAGTCCACAAGGCTCTAAAGAAAGTCAGAAAGAATTTGACTTAGAGGAAGATAACTTTACAGTTAATCTTGAGGCCAGGGGTTTACAAGAATTCCCTAGGGATGTTTTCAAAGCCAAATATGTAAAATATCTATATTTAGATAAGAATCAAATAAAAACTTTCAAAGTAGCAGACCCAGGGGATCTGCTAGGACTTGAAATTCTGTCCCTGCAAGAAAATGGATTGTCATCCATTCCCTTGGAAATTCATTTGCTTACCAATTTAAGGATTCTAAATGCCAGTTACAACCAGATATCATGCATACCAAAAGAATTATTACAACTTGAGAATATGAGACAACTCTTTTTAAATAGTAATTGTATTGAGAATTTACCTTCTGACTTGGAAAGTCTTATAAATTTGGAAACTTTAAGTCTGGGCAAAAATATGTTAACAAATGTACCAGAGTCTTTGTCTAGTTTGAAAAACTTGCAAGTTCTTAATCTGGAATATAATCAACTAACAATATTTTCTAAATCCCTATGCTTTCTTCCAAAATTAATTTCACTAAACCTTACTGGAAACATGATAGGCAGTTTGCCAAAAGAAATTAGGGAACTGAAAAACTTAGAAAACCTTTTAATGGATCATAATAAACTTACTTTCTTGTCTGTGGAAATTTTTCAGTTGCCCAAAATAAAAGAGCTTCAGCTAGCTGACAATAAATTGGAAGCTATCTCACCGAAAATAGAGAATTTCAGAGAACTCAGAATTCTTAACCTTGATAAAAACTTACTAAAAAAGATACCCAAGAAACTTTCTCGCTGTGTGAAGTTGGAATGTCTTAGTCTTAGTGATAATAGCATAGAAGAGCTTCCTAGGAAAATCCATAGGCTTAAAAATTTGAAACAACTCCATGTAAGCAGAAATAAAATGATAAAAATGGCTGAAGAAATCTCCCATCTCAGTAATATAATCAGTCTGGAGTTTTCAGGCAACCAAATCACACATATTCCAATTGAAATAAAGAACTGCAGAAAAATAACCAGAGTTGAATTGAATTATAATAATATAATGTATTTCCCAGTGGGACTGTGTGCTTTACCATCACTTGACTACTTGAGTTTTAATGGAAATTATATTTCAGAAATCCCTATGGATGTATCTTTCAGTAAGCAACTGCTACATTTAGAGTTGAATACAAACAAACTCCCCGTGCTTTCAGAACACTTATGTTCTCTCACGAATCTTGAATACCTGGACGTTGGCCAAAACCAAATAAAAACAATCCCGTCCTGCATCTCTACTATGGTGTCGCTCCGTGTGCTCATTGTGTCTGGTAATAAGTTTGAAACTTTCCCAAAGGAACTGTGTGCTTTACACAACTTGCAAGTACTTGATATTTCAGAAAATCAGTTACAGAAGCTACCTTCAGATATAACTAAACTAAAAGGTATCCAGAAATTAAACTTGTCAAGCAATCGGTTCTCCTATTTTCCTGTTGAACTGTGCCAACTGCAAACACTGGAGGCATTGTACCTGTGTCCTGGATAGTTTTGTGTGCACTTGGCACAAGCTGGAGTCATCAGAGAGAAGGGAACCTCAATTGAGAAAACGCCTCCATAAGATCCAGCTGTAAGGCATTTTCTTAATTAGTGAGCAAAGTGACTGTGGGTGGCACCATCCCTGGGCTGGTGGTTCCGAGTTCCCTAAGGGTGGCAGGCTGAGTAAGCCAGGGGAGCAAACCAGTAAGCAGCACTCTCCATGGCCTCTGCATCAGCTCCTGCCTCCAGGTTCCTGCCCTGCTTGAGTTCCAGTCCTCACTGCTTTTGATGATGAACTGTGATGAGAAACTGCGAGTGAAGCCAACCTTTTCTCTCCAAGTTGCTTTTGGTCATGGTGTTTCATCACATCAATGGTAACCCTGACTAAGACAACATGCAAGAATATATATATTATATAAAATACATATATACACGTATATATGTATTTTAGCCAGATGAAATGGTCTATGTTTGGCAACATGGCTTAGAGACGCACCTCTCTACCCAAAAGCTTTACAGGACATTCCATTCCATTGCAATGGGAAACAAAGCAGATGATGTTGTAGATTTTTTACTTTCCATTTAGTTCACGGGATGATTTTTTAAATTGGATGTATGTCATATATGTCTGCATTTCTGTACTTGGATGCTGGTGGGTTCACTTGGGTGCATACATGCACGTGGGTGCACCTGAGTGCATATAGAAGCCAAAGGTATCTTCTTTAGTTTTGCTCCGTTGTTTTGTTTGTTTGTTTGTTTGTTTGTTTGTTTGTTTTTGCTTCTGCTTTTTTAAACAAAGTCTCAGTGTGAAGCCCTGACAGCCCTGGAACTTGCTGTGAGACCGGGTTGGCCTTGAATTGACAGAGAGCAATCTGTTTTGTTTCTTCTTTGATTGCAGGGATTAAATGTGTCACCATGCCCATGGCTGCCATCTACCTCCCTTTTTGAGACAGTCTCTCACTGAACTGGATTGGAGCTCATGGACTGGCTAGACTAGTTGTACAATAAATGTGTCTCAACTCATCCCCTCTGCACTGGGGTTATATGCATGGTCCCAATTTTCCACTGTGTGCTATGGATTCAAACTCAGATCCTCATGTTGGCAGGCACTTTCTTGACCTAGTCATCTGCTGAACCCCTATTGTAAGAAGTTTTAAAGTTTTGTGTATCTTATAAACACGTTGTTGAGCTGCGGGCATGGTTCAGTGTTAGCGCTTGGCCAACTCATGCATGGCTCTGGGTTTGATTCCCACTATCAGCAATGCATTGCTGAAAATCCAGAAAACTGAGGTGATACCACATGTATATCATAATAAAACTCATACTGTTTTAATGTAATTTTAGTTTCTTTTTCTTATATAGGTTTATAAGCAGTTATAAAAAAGACTAGAAATTCAATTTAAAATTTTATCCTACATAAGCATTTCTCCTTCCCAATAACTTATAGTAAACACATGATTTATTTATTTATTTATTTTGATGCAAACAGCATGAGGCTTTATTGTTGTTTAACGAGCTAACCCCATGTTAACTCGAGTCTTTCAACCACCCGCCATGGCGGATGGCTAGAAAGACAGCTTGAACCGGCTGCAGAGAAGATCTTATAGGGTAGCGTAAGGGGAGTGTCTAGGGGTACGCACAGGCTCAGGATTGGTGTGCCTCCAGGCTTGGAGGGTTTGCCCTGTGTTGATTGGCCAACTGGTTGTTATGGCCCATAGGCCCTCCCAGGGTGGTTGCTATGCTCTGTGTGTCATTGCTGTGCACTTGTCCGTAAAGCACACCCAGGGTCGTAAAGCATAGCACCACCAGCTAACTTCTGATTGGTTCCTTGCCACGAGACAGGCATCTGACCTCTAGTGATCAAAGCAACATCAGAAAAGCACGTGTTACTGTCATGGCTGCTGAAAAATTCCAATCATGGAATTGCTGTCTCTCTAGCGCCCCCATCAGGGAGTGAGAGATACTGGCATCCCCATGTAAGAGAGTCCCTTCTGACTTAGCATTTTAACCAGGGAAAATGGAGGACGAATTCTTTCCCATGCTACTTCCTGCTGACTTTGGGACGAAGTTAGGGACCCCAGAAGGTTGAAATGCTAGTCAAAAGCAAAAAAGGAATTTAGGCAATGGGGAATCCACCAGGGGCTGTTGGCAGACTCTGTTGCAGAGACAGGGGGTGTCCACATCAGCTGGACTGGTTCACATTCACAGCAAGTCCAGGGCTCGCAGTCTACTTAGAACAGCCTGTAGTCAGCAACTGATACTCAGATGTCTGCCAGAAGCAGAAGCCTGTTTAAGACATGTTTAAACTAGGAACAGAGGTTAAAACTTATTTACTGAAGTGTATAGAAAAAGTAGATATCTGGATATCTGTTCAAACAGCAGGAACATATTTATAATTTTGAGTCCTAGCAAAAATACAGATTTAGGCTAGAAGCATGTACGTTTTTCTTCTGTCCAGAGAGCCAGGTATGGATTGGACAGAGGTGCCTTTGGCCTGATGAAGAGCCCTTTAAGTTTATACTTAGATGACAACCAAAATAAACTTAAAAACCTTGAACTTGTGACTGAACCGTAGGTAGTCATTACTTTATCAGCTAACATGCTGACTATAGCCTTGTGGATCTGACTGTCTGATGCTGTCAAGCTGACAACCATTAATATTTCAGAGATCTGAGAAGGGTATACTTTATCCGAATCTACTAAAAAGTGACAGAAGCCAGTTAGAAGCCAGTCCATATACAGTTAGCCATACTCAAGTCTCTTCATTACCATTGGAGGCAGGTGTCTCAAAGAACAGCAATCTTTGCCAGGGGTTTGTTCCTCTCTGTGGAAGAGGGACATGGAAAAGACTGACGTTGTTTTGTCTAGGTAAAGGGGGTGCAATCAATTTTCCAGTGTCCAGCAGCTTTGTCCACAGTCTCAGCCAGGTCCGGGCAGGAGGCAGGTATCACATCTGAGCATCTCGCTCACTGGTCCAGGTGCAGGAACTGAGGTGCCTCATAATCTTCTTTGGAGACTTTGGGTCACTGTCAGGATCTGGCAGTCTGTCTGATATTATAAACTTTAAAGATAATATTTTAAATGTCATATTCTGCAGGTCTCTGAAGCATTAGAGGTCTGTTTTAGTTACTTGCCTTAAGCACACATTAAGCACACAGGTGGCTAGGTAAGGTCTTATTTCTGTA